ATATATACCACACATACATACATACGTACACACAATACACGCCCGCCACCGCCACCAGGATACGCACACCTGGATCTGCGCCATCACCCTGTTGGCTCTGTTGGACATGGCGGAAGCCTCCTTGGATATGGCCTCCTCTAGCTCCTGCACGGATGCAGACACCCGCTGCTGCACCTCCTGCGGGGCGTGTGTGTGTATGTGTGTGTATGTGTGTGTATGTGTGTGTGTGTGTGTGTGTGTGTGTGTGTGTGTGTGTGTGTGTGTGTGTGTGTGTGTGTGTGTGTGTGTGTGTGTGTGTGTGTGTGTGTGTGGTATCCCGAAGAGATGGCGGAGGAGGTTTTGAGCTGGACTGTTGCCGGAGTGCTCTGAATTGCACATTCAGGTATTTGATATATTTCTGTACCAAGTGCGCTGAATTTAGCGATGAGGATCTAGGAGGCTTGACCCATGGGTCCAAGGTTGTAGATAGGGCATGCAGGGTCAGGTACATATCAAGACTCATGATTACAAAAGGACAATCGGCGCCCTGTGTGTATGCGTACGCACGCCAAGTTGAGAGCTGGGATTGGTGAGAGCGCCATTCCGCTTCATTCATGCTTCTTTCCGGTGAGGTGATCGGAGCGAGAATGCCTTTTTATTCCCGGCGGAGGCCTTCCCCTCGAACGCCTGGGCCGAGGTCCTGTTCGGGTCTGGCATTTCATTTCTGCACCCAACCCGTTGCCTCGCACTGCAGCCCCCAGCCCCACATCGCCCCCACCTGACAACGCCCGGAGGTACGCTCACCTGCAGCACCGCCGCCTGCTGCGCCACAGCCCTGCGCTTCTTGCGCTGCATCATTACCGTCAACAGCTGCTGCAGCTGACCCCCCTCCTCGTCCTCGCCGTCACCTTGACTGCCGCCCTCGCCACCACCGTCATCGCCCACCAACGTCCGCAACATCGCACTTGCCAGCGCCGTCAGGTCTGCCTCTTCGGCGCCGTCCGCATCGATCTGACAGGCCGCGGCTCGGCCACCGCCAGCGCCTCTACCACCGCCGCCACCGCGGCGGCGCCTGCTGGCAGCCGCGGCCGCTGCACCTCCGGCACCGCGCCCCCCACCGATTGGCAGCTGCGGCGATGGTGCCACCGCGGCGGCTGCCGGTGGCGGTATCCCGATTGTGGTACTCCCGGGGCCGCGGATTCCCGCCATGAAGGGCAGCGGCTTGAGGGCCGCCAACTTGACAGCTGCGCGGAACGGGAAAAAGGTGCAGTAAGGCGGTTAGGAAGGTACAGCCGGGCCGACGCATACGCGAGAGCTCGGGATGCGTCGGAAATGGGACGAGACAGCTCCAGCCGCGGCAGTAGCAGGCTGCAATAGCGGAAGAAAGACGACATCAACGACGACTACACAGCCATGACGGCAATCTTCAGGAAGACGTTACGCAACGGTTCCAGCTGCGCGCCTTCCGCCAAGCTCGAACACAATACGAGCCGACGGACGCCGCCGCTACCCGACACACTCGGAACATAGGGCCCGCTGCGTACTTGAGTTAAAGCTTAGGCGCTTGCCCACGCCCGCGCCACACCCAAAATCGCCGTCTGCTCCTCCGAAACCTTCGTCACCCTCCACGTCGCTGTCGTCGCCGCCGTTGAGGCCGCCGCCGTCTCCACGCTCCTCCGGTAGCAGCTCCATCCCGAGTCGGCCGAGCATACCTGCGCCGTACAGGCCCCCAGCCACCACGTCCGGAGCAGGCGCTGCCGGGAGACCCCCCCCGGGCCCCGTGCGCTGAAGGGATGCGGCGCTGCGGCCTCCGGCCATGGCTGCCGGCTGGCGCGGCTGCGGCGGCTTCTTGGCCCCCCGCGGCGGTTTGCCTGTCGGCGGTTTGCCTGTACCCGGCGGCGGCGCCGCCGCAAGCCCCGCTGAAGCGGGTACGGCCTTTGCGGCCGCGGCTTTTGGCGGTGCTGATAAAGCCCCAAGCCTAGGCAGCTCCGGGGTACTTGCTGCTGCTGCTGTAAGGCCCGCAGTCAAGGGTGTGCGGCCCTGGCGCACGCCAGCGTCCCGTGGCGGTGGGGCTGCTGCCGCGGGTTTGGTCCGGGTGGCTGTGGCGGCGGCTGCAGCCTGCTGTGGAATCGGGCTTGGTGAGACGGACTTAGGACTAGGCGAGACCAACACCAGGTTGAGGGCGCGCTGTGGCTGCCGCCCAAAGCCTGCTCCACCGCCACTCTCCACCTCATAGTGCCCAGCGGCCGGCTCTGCTACCCCGGGGTGGTGGTACCCCGCCTCGCGTGCGGCTCCGCTAAGGAGCTCCTCATCCTCCTCGCCGACAACGGCTCCTAAATCTACGTCCGGAGCGTCCAAGTCCACCACGAGCCGGTGGCGCTGCCGCTGTTGCTCCTTCGTGACCCACGGGTCTTCTCTCAGCAGCAAATCACCTTCCACATGTAGCGGTGGCCTGTGGCCGCGGCCCTTGCCAGCGCCAGTGGCGGCGGCGGCGGCGGCGGCGGCGGCACCGCCCTGCCGCTCGTGTCCGCCGTGTTCCTCATCTTGCCCCCCAGCGGTTGGCTCGTCTTCGGCGGCAACCTCCTCGTTGTCCCAGGCAGCGTACATGCGGCGCAGGGCGTCTGCCGTACCGCCGTCGCCACCGTCAGCAGCGGCGGCGTCATGTGCGCTGTAGGCCAACGGCGGAGGGTACGTGAGATATGGGGGTGGGTACGGTCTGCGAGCTTACTCAACACTGTATGGGCTAAAGCCATATTTCTTTCAGGAGTGTTGATTTAATTGTTCCTTGATACTACTTTTTCATTATGCGGATGCCGGATGCAGCAGCGTTCCAATCAGGTGACCATCAACATACCCTACCACCAAGGACCGAGGCAAGTTCTCCAAAAAACATACATACATACATACATACATACCGCCTGCCTGCATGTAATTAACACCGCCGGCCGATACTGCAACAGCTCACCCTGGCCAATCTGCTGCCGCTGCCGCATCTGCCCCGGCCTCCGCATCCCGGAGCCCCTCCAGAGCCAGCTGCTGCTCCTGCTCGTCCAGAGTCGCGGGCACCACCATCGCCTCCGCCTCCGCCTCCGCCTCAATGCCAGGCACGCCCTCCCGGGATGCCGTAGCACCGTGCTTCGCCTGCTTACATAGCTTGGATTTCTGAGGCTGCAGCGATTGTTGTTGTTGCTGCTGCTGCTGCTGGTGCTGGTGGTGCTTCTTTTGGAGCTGCGGTGAGGTTTTCTTGGGAGAGGGTTGCGTAGGCGCCAGCTGGCCGGCCATTGCCTCTATCGCCTGTCGGGATGGAGAGCATAGAGCGGAGAGGACCACGTGCAGAGCGGGAATGTGTGTGATAAAGGCTCCCCTGTTTGGTGTTTCGACAAAAGCGCTCCGTGTCCCCGCCGGGCCTTCCGCCAAGCCGATCACTAGCACCCCATCTCCACGTGCATTGAAGATGCACTATGTCAATATGCACGAAATTCCAGGCACTCTGTCAACCGGCTGACGTGTCTGGGTCCCGTCCGGCTCTTACAACGTGACATCTCCCCCCCCGGCTTGGGACCGGTATACATGTCAGGAGAGCGCTCCAATCATTCCATCCAACCCGCGCGAAGGACTTGCTCATGTCAGGTCATCAACCCTTTCCAAGAACACCCAAACTGTACCTTTGCCTTGGCATGCCGCTGCGGACGGCTGCCCGCCGCCACCGGCGCCGGCTGCGGTCCTGGCGACGTCGGCGCGGCTCCCTTCCTGCCCATCTTCTGCGCGGCTCCCTTCCTTGCCTTCTTAGCAGGCGATGCCTGCTGTGCTGCAGCGTCGCGCGCTTCGTCACCGTCCTCCACCGCCCCATCCCGCATCGCAAGGTCGACAACATCGTAGGGATCGACCTCCCGTTCCTCCGGAGACTCAGCCCTGCCGCGCTTCTGAGCAGGAGCTGCAATCGTGCCCGCGCCCTTCCCCGGCGCGGCAGACGCCTCGCCGCCCTTCCGGTCCACCGCGGCGCCCCCGTGACCAGCCCCCAGCTTCGGCAGCTGCATCACCGCCGCCGCCGGAGGCTTAGCCCGTGCCTTTACGGACCCGGCAGCTCGCGGCACAGGTCCCGCATCAGGCGGCGACGCTGCCGTGTCCTGCAGCATCCCTACTGCCGTCGTGTCGTACCCGGTGATAGCATCGTCCTCCATGGGCTCGTTCTCCTCGGGGACTTCCGCCACCACCGCCGTCGCCGCGGCTCCCCCCAATGTGCCGGCCTGCCGCGTTTCAACGGTCGGTAGGGCTGCTGCCGCCACCGCTGTCGCCGGCGCACCGGCGATTTTCCCACCAGCGGCAGCGACGCCATTGTACGAGGCTGCACGTCGGGCCGCAGCGGCGGCGGCGTTGGCTGGTGTGTCTGGATCTTCAATCGGGTCCAGGGAGGCCTTCACGTTGGGAGATGCCGCCGCTGCCGCACCACCTGCGGTCCTTCGCGCCGCTGCTGTTGACGGCCCAGCTAGGTGATTTTCACGCGGCGGTGGCGGTGCTCTGCTGTTGCCGCCGCCGCCGCCGCCAGCGCTGCCGTCACCCCGGCCCGGCCCGACCGGCGGCCTACCGCTTGGTCCTGCGCCAGCCCGTGATCCGCCTTGTGCCGCTGCCGCCGCTGCAGCGTACCCTCGATCTGCTCCCTGGGCACGTGCAGTCGAAGGACAAGGGCCGCCGTCGCCGCCGTCAGCCGGTGCAGTCTGGCCATCCTTGGTAGCTGCGGGTGCCAACAGCGGGGGGGGTCGCAGCGGCGGCGGGAGCGACACGCTGGGGGCCTGCAGCTCGCCCGTCAACGTGCTAAGGGGCGGGGTTTTACGCATGCGTTGGAAGGTTTTTGATACGCCTGCGGTACGTCCCGTAGTAATAGAGGTCGGCTGAGGGCTCAACCGAGGTAGTCGGGACGGGGCCTGCTGCGGCTGCGGCGGCTGCTGTGGCGGCTGCTGCGGCGGCTGCCGTTTCTCGGCGGGACCCTGCGAGCAGTAACAAGGAAGTGGCACCATCAGCATTTTGAAGCATTTTGCATCGCGTTGTAGACACCACGGCTGGCACCATCAACATGATCTCCGCTAAGATGCGTGAAGAAGAGGGACAGCGCAGCGAGTGGCTGCATCTCCGCGGCATGGCTTGCTTCACAGCAGAGTCGTCACACCCAGCGACGGGAGCCCGGGAGGTAATCGCAACACGGGACGCCAAGCTCCAAAACTTCCCTTCCTGAAAGCTGGAGCATACCATACCCTAACCCCACGCCGCGCCCTGCTTACCTGGCCATTTGCCGCCGCGGTCGGCCCCGCGGCACCCCGGGGTTTCTTGCTCTGCTGGACACCATCCACATCAGTCGCCGCACCACCGCCGCGACCCCCCCGTCCTTCTGTACCCACCGCCGGCTCGGGCTGCCGTGCCACTGGCCGCTTCCTGCCACCGCCTCCATCGCCGTTGTCTACCCCAGCGGCCTGACCCTTCGGTCCGGCCTTCGCTGCAGTCTTGGCTGCCTCCTCTTCCACCTCAGTCTCGTCGACCGCCGCGGTGCTTGCGGTAGCGGCCTTGTCCTTGTTCTGCTGCTTCTTGGCCGCAGGTGCAACGCTTTCGTGTTCGGCATTGGGTTGTTCCCGCTGCTCATGACCGCCATTGGCGACAACCCCCGCTGCTGCCTTCTTGCCGCGTCCACTGGTAGCTGCTGCAGTTGCTGCACCGGCGCCGCCCTTGCCCTTCAGAGGCCCCGGCGCGTCTGTGGCGGGCTGCTTCGGCGCCTTGCTGCCCTTACCCTTCTTCGGCTCCGGCTCCGACGCCGGCTTTGCATCGGCAGCGTCGGTTTCCTTACCACCACCTCGTCCGACAGCTTTTCCTGCAGCCTGCTGCTGTGCCTGTGCCTGCGGTGGTTGCGTTCCGCGCTTTTCGCCTCCGCCGCCGGCCGCGTCCGCCTCCGCGGCAGGAGCTGCTAGCGGTTTTGCTGGCAGCTCTGCACCAGCCACATTCTGAACTTGCCGCTCGGAGGGAAGGCGCGGAACCCCATTCTGTGTGGCCGAATTGGGCGGTCTACCCGCCGCCTCTGCACCCTTCCGAGACACATCTTCAGCCTGCCCGTTGGGCTTGTTGCCGTCGAACGTATTCGACGACATTCCCTTGCTGGCCATTGCTTTGCGCACATCGTCCTGCTGCTTCTGCTGCACCTGCTGCGGCGGCTGGTGTCCTCTTAAGGCCATTGCGATGCTTCCATCCGGTTGCTGCAGCTGCAGCTGCGGCGGCGATGGCGGCGGCGATGGCGCCGGTGGCGGAGGTGGCTCTTTATCACGCTGGTCACCGTCTAGATGCTGCTGCTGCTGCAGCTGCTCCGGCGATAGCGCTTGCGACTCAGGCGACACCGGCAGCCGACCCTGATCCTGATCCTCCTCCTGCCCGCCCCTCCGCTGGTTCTCCTCGCGCTGCTGCTGCTGCTGCTGCTGCAAGTGCAGCTGATCGTCATCCGCTTTCTCATCGTCTGTGAGCGCATCTAGGGACGTGCGGCGCCGGCGACGCTTGCGGCCGCTACCGGGTGTGCACTGCAGCTATTGACGCAAGCGAGAACATGGGCGCGCGGGAGGGCAGGAGAGAGCGCGCGCTCACAGGCAAAAGAAGAGAAACAAATGTAAGATGTGCCGAACCCATACTTCACAAAGAACGAAGAGCATGTTCATGGCCGCTTTCCGTTGTGTCGTGCTCACGACACGTTCGTGTACAGTTTCAAGGAGCCCCACCCCCTTCCCTCCAACGTGTTGTAACACCAGGATAACACAGCAGGCTGACAGGGAGGTCTGGCGGGAGATGCCAATGGGAATCGAACCCCGCCTTACACCATATGCGTTTCCGAACCACCTTTCCACCTTTTCCCGGATCACTTCACGATATGGGATGAAAGGCCCCAAGATGGTCTGGTCCGGTCCTGTCCTGGAGGCAGGCAGCCGCACCCCAGTGTCACCTAAGCACACGGGCTCAAGGACAGCAGCGCCCTCACCCACCCACCCATCCCTCCTGCCCATGGTAACTACCACGGGCTGCAACGTGTGCACCCCCTACTGCCCACACCCATTGTCACTACATGGCAACAAGTCTCACAAGGCGCCTAGCGCACCTGCGGCGACGTGAGCTCGTCTTGCTCCTCCTCGCCTGCAATCTCCTGTTCCAGATGCGGCTCCTGCTGCGTCTCTTGCTTTTGCTGCTTTTGCTGCTTTTGCTGCTGCTGCTGCTGACGGTTCTGACGCGACCCGGCCGGCCCAGGACCCACATTGCTTCCACTGTGTTGCGCCTGCCCGTCGTCATCTGCAGCTGCGGCCTCGCCACCAATCCCTCCTACCCCGCCACCGCCACCGCAACCGCCACCGCCGCCTACAGCGGCCTCCGTGCCTAAGAACGCACCAGGCTGCTGCTGCTGCTGCGGCGGCGGCGGCTGGTGTGGCGGCGGCGGCTGGTGTGGCAGCAGCGGCTGGGGCTGCGGCTGCTGCTCCCCGAACTGGCTCTGCGGGTAGCCGTTGCCCAGTGCAAACGCGGGGTAGATCGGTAGCCCACGGGACATCTTGGGAAAGGCGCCCGCGTGGTTCTGGAGCTGAGAGAGCTCCGCCCACATGGGGTCCTGGGACTGTACGACCAACCGCTCCCTGCAGCGCTGTGGGAATAGGCAGGGTTTCAGGATTTCCATGAGGACTGGGTTCATCAGACAAGAGGGCGTCTTGAAGGGTTCCTTCAGGGGGTCTTTACAAGAGGTTACGGGAGTGCCTCGATCCACACCCCTGCGGATAGCCGCCGCCGCCCCAGCACGGTTCATGAATGTGCCAATACGCCAATACGCCTGCAGCCAGGCAGCACCGGCCCCGGGCAGGAGTCTACTATGCTACACATGGTCCGCGACACTGCGCACCCGCACACTCTTCCAGATCACTGAGCCGCATGAGCCCTGATGGTCCCTGATGGTCCCCGATGAACTGACGCCCTCCATTGCCCGCGAGCGCTCGGGTTGCATGGCCCTCTCAGCCCTGAGTCGTCGTCGCGCCGTGCTGCATGGCTGCAAAACCACAACGCCACGCCCCAACATACCTTTCCTTTCCCCGGAGCGCACAATCGATATCGGCCCCTGATCCACACCCTTGACCTATATATTATCCGGCAGGCAATGCATGAGGCTACCACAACCCCCCCCCCCACCAGCTATCATCTTTTCCACCCACACCCACTCACCTTGGGAAAATGCAGCATCATGGCCTTGGCCGCGTCCTTGTCCAACGTAAGCACAACCGATACACCGTGTCGGCCACCCCCGGGCCCCGGACCCCCGGCGTCCCCCGGCTCGTCACCGTTCTCGCCCACACTGAGGGCCACCTGAAGCACCTCGGGCATTCGGGACACACCGATCTCCACCTCGCAGCTGTTAACGTCCCCGGGGGCGTCACGCAGGTGCACAGACGATACGTCGCCTGCAGGTGCGGGCGGAGCTGCCGGTTAGCGGTTAGCGGTTAGCGGTTAACAGTACGGTGAGACGCAGTTCCCAGGAAGGAGATTGAATATACACAGGAGAGTGAGGGGGGCCGGCGGGAATGGCGGCGGAGGGGTCGCATCCACGGCAAGAGACGTCGCCGCATGTTGTACGGCGCATGTTGTGGAAACAGCACAACAAGCCAACAGTGCATGTAAGCAAATTTGTGACATCGCCGGCGTACGGCATCCTTTCTCACTGTATGGCACGGTTAGCAGCTCCGGCGCCGGCTCCGGGTCGTCGGGGTCCGGGACCAGGACGGTGAGGGCGAAGTGGCCGCCGCGGGGGTCTCCCCCCACTCCTAGATCGACCCACGGGTCAGAATGCCGTACACCGGACACGCCCAGCACCCGCAACGCCCTGGTCTTGTACGAGAAAACGCTGAGGCAGTGGAGGGCGGAAGGGAGGCGGCCCATGGCAGCGCGTGTGAGTCCGGAAAGGAGAAAAACGGCCAAAGCTGCGTGTATGCCTCCATTACGGACATCCTCAAATCACTTGTGGTGAGGGCCGCAGGGTGGCGAAGCCTCGATAACGTTTCATAGCTCCCCCCCCAGAGGCGGCGGCAAGGAGGTGTTACTGCTGCCCGATCTCCCGCCCCATGCCACCCGCGTTCCACCCGCTCCATAATCCCCTCTTTGCCCTCCTCCCCACTTCCACCTGGCGTTGTCGCCCAGCGATGCATTGTACGACACCAGTACGGTCCTGAGCTGCGCTGCCAGGTCGATTGTAGCGGCGGCAGCGGGACCGTCCGCCGCCGTGACGCGTGCAAAGGTGTCCAGGGTGCGCTGCATGTGCTCCAGGGCCCGGCCTCTGTCCGCCAGGTACCTGGGCAGCAGGTGGGGCCCGGCGCTGCGGCCCACTCGGAACAGCGCCTCCAGCAGATCCAGCTGCGGGGTCGGGTGGTAGGTACGGGGTCGGGTGGTGGGTACGGGGTCGGGTGGTAGGTGGTAGGTACGGGGTCGGGTGGTAGGTACGGGGTCGGGTGGTAGGTACGGGGTCGGGTGGTAGGTGGTAGGTACGGGGTCGGGTGTTAGGTGGTAGGTACGGGGTCGGGTGGTGGGTACGGGGTCGGGTGGTAGGTACGGGGTCGGGTGTTAGGTGGTAGGTACGGGGTCGGGTGGTAGGTACGGGGTCGGGTGGTAGGTACGGGGTCGGGTGGTGGGTACGGGGTCGGGTGGTAGGTGGTAGGTACGGGGTCGGGTGTTAGGTGGTAGGTACGGGGTCGGGTGGTAGGTACGGGGTCGGGTGGTAGGTTACGGGGTCGGGTGTTAGGTGGTAGGTACGGGGTCGGGTGGTAGGTACGGGGTCGGGTGGTAGGTACGGGGTCGGGTGGTAGGTACGGGGTCGGGTGGTAGGTAGGTACGGGGTCGGGTGGTAGGTACGGGGTCGGGTGGTGGGTACGGGGTCGGGTGGTAGGTACGGGGTCGGGTGGTAGGTACGGGGTCGGGTGGTGAAGCTAAAGGACACGGACAAGGCTACAAGGACATGCCACATACCCGCTACAAAGTCATGGCTCTTTCCCTGATCTCCCCAGGTCCCCTCTCACCTGCGTTCCAAAGTCCGCCGCCCCCGGCAGCAACTCCTTGAACACCTTATCCACCTGTCCCTGGTGGTCCGCAGCCGCCACCAGCCGCTGGTTGTGCTTACTGCGAGTGACCAGGTCCAGGAGGGTTACCGCGGCGTGACGCCGAACGGCCAGGGGAAAGTACCTGCATCCATCGAACCGCGGTACGTCAGTAGTACGGCAATAGTACGACAGTGGTACGGAAAGACATGGGAAGGTACGGAAAGCGCCTGCGGCCGGGGGCGGAATGCTGTTAGGGCAGTGCTTCCTTCCTCGAATATGCGTCCACCTTCGTATATGCGTTCCCTTTATCATCATTCATTCATCCATGTACTCAATTCACGTCAAACCAATCCCCCATCTGGGTTTTCTCTGGTTCGCTTTGTTTTTTAAGATCTCCCACCTTTGCTCCAGCCTGCCTTCCCTGTCTCGAGTCGCAACTCACACGCCCCGTCAGCTGCCCCAACCCAACCACCTGCCCAATCCCCAGCCAAGCCACCCATGCACCCTCATGCACCCCGCACCTGGTACTGGGGAGGAACTCCAGGAGGGGCCCCAGGAACAGCTCCCCCAGACGATCACGAGCGGGCATGCCGCGAACACCCTTATCTAGCGGGGGAGGAGGAGGAGGACGTCCGGACGGCGACGAGAAGGGGGGGTCGGCAGAAAAACAGGTTGAGGGGAAGGGTGCGGAGCAAGAGGCACCGTGCGCGGGGCCAAGGCAACACAAAACACGTTGAATGGCAAGCCGAGGGCCGTTCGCCCCCAAAACCAGCGCCGCTACCTTGGCTAACCATTAGCGTCACCGCTGCATCCAGCCGCCGCCATCTCCGGGACCCAACCCTTGCCACGATGCCATCCCGAGCCAACTCCAATCCAATTTGCTAAAAAGACACCCATTCACTGTATTCAATCTCGAAGCCCGGCCCAGCCAGTCTGCGTCCGCAAGCCCCCATGACACCCCCCCCCTCACCTCGCATCTTGGGCGGCGGCGGCAGTCGGTAGTCGGACGCGCAGACGTCCTGCACGCACTGTATAATTGCGGTGAGCAGTCCGTGCGTCAGGTGCTTGTGCACCTGCTGAGAGGAGCTGCCTGCCAGCACCTCGAACACCTGGGACAGCAGAATGGGGAACTGAGACTCCCATAGAGCCGCCGAAGACACAGGCCTGGGGGCCTCGGATGGGGTGGGGTGGGGGAGGGAAAGTTGTCGTACTGCGACGCTTTTGACGAAAGGCAAGCGTCAGTGAGGCGGGGGGGGGGAAAGACGAACCACACGCGATTTAAGCTGCTGCCAGAGCAAGATAGTAGCAACCGAAAGAACTGACCGAAAGGCGTCCGTGGCGACTGTGACGACTGTAACCTCGGGATGACGACTGTAACCTCGGGATGAAGAATTGACGTAGAAGTTGGAAGTCCTATCTACCTAAGCCGCCAGAAATACTATAGCCAAACCGTAAACTAGTAGGAGTAGAAAAAGTAGTGAAGGCGGCGAGAAAAAAATTTAGACGTAGAAGTGATGTAAAGTTGCTGGCCAGGAGAGAAAGCTGCATTGCTGATACTGAAAGGCTGCCGGTATGCAAGTGTTCCTCCCAACCCCCCAAAAAAACTAGAACGCGCGACTGACCCGACCGACCCAAACTAAACTATTCCGGCTAGCCTACCGACGCCAACGCGAAATACCAAAGAAGCTCGAACCACCACCGGGGGGGGGGGGGAGGAGGCAGCGACTCCGTCCTCCCAGGTGTTCACACGCGCATGTGATCACCCAAACCGAAATAAATACGTTTACATCCCGGGTCTAGAGGACCAGCAGATATTTCGTATTTAATAATTGAAGTATACAACGTCCCGTGCGATACAACGCCCCAGCCCTCCTCGCTTGTCGTGCCCATCGACGATGCTGTAACTGCGATAATGACGCATGGCCGTCGCCGTTGCACCTCTGCTGGCTGCCAGCTCGCTAAGAAGACACCCACCCACGCGCCCACCGATACAGCCCGCTCCCCCCACTCAGCTTACCCGAATCTAGGCGGCATGAGGTGCAGTATGCACCTGATGAGGGGCACCTCCACCGAGGCCTCCGTGTCCGCACCCGACATGATCTGAAAGGTGGGTGGGTGGGGGTGGCCATACAATATAGAGCCAGCAGGGGGGGAGGGGGTAAGTACGGATGAACGGGAGCGGAAGGCAAGTATCAGACACACCGTGGCATTGGGATATCCGCACGCACGTCGCTGGCTGGGATGGCATCGGGAGATGTCAGGCGGGTGAAATAAACAGTGGGTTGCGGACGGGCATGGGTTGGCTGGGTCAGGTTGCCGCGCAATTCCTTCCTTCTACATCATCGTCCCTGAGCAGTGGCCTCGTGGCCTTTTCCTTGAGCACATTAGGTAGGCGGGTAGGTGCGGCGCGCCAGGCGGTACACAGTACAGCCCACCGCCGGCCCCCCCCAAACCGTGCGCCCTAACATGACTGACTGCACGCGCGCACGCAGTCATACAAGACGCAGCCAAGACGCAAGAGCTGCTAGAGCAGGGAGCCTAGCCACCTTAGATTGGTGGAGCTTTGTGCAGAATCGACGGAGAGAGGGAGGGAGTTGCTTCGGAGCAGCTATCTTTCAATTTATCAGCTGTCCGCCATGCAGCGGTAAAAGCGACGAAAGCAGCGGAATGTTGTGCAACCTCCATCCGCGTCACTGCTGCGGGTGCACAGCGCTGCGCTGCACTGCACTGCAGCGTGCCATAGCATGTATGAGCACGAGGCAACTGGGCGCATGCGCGTTTTTGCGTTCCAAATCTTCCGGACTGCTTCAAGTCCATTTGCTTTTGATGCGCTGCCTGAAATGTACATGCTATGTTAATTTAAAGACGCACCAATTGCATTCGCTGAGCAGCCGCCAAGATGAGCTCAACTTGCTCAGGGCCATCGCGGTCGCCATGCAAGACCTCCGCATCCACACTGTCAAAAGTCTCAAGCCGCGTCACGAGCTCAGCAGGGTCAATTGACGTGTTGCGAAGAAGCTCCTGACAGCAGAAGCAGCAGAACAAACCGCGGCAAGAAGATGGGAAGGCAGCGCGCGGCGGCAGCGAACATGTCAATGTGCACAGCATAGTGCCCTGCCTTTGACCAAATGGAGGGGCGCCTTGCTAGGATAGGATGCGCGTCAACGACACATTCAGGAGTGTTGTTGGCGCAAGGCGGCGACAGCTTCAAGGCATAGCGCGAAAATTTGGTGGCAGCGCGGCCCGGATGGCCGCATCTATTCTTTTAGCAATCCCAGCCACCGCAGGGCCATGCACGTGGTCCAATTTGAACAACTCACCGCAACAGCGGAAAGATTGCCTCGAGACATCTTCCCCCAAAGGAACTGGCGCCAAGGAGTCGCGTCTGTCTCCCCTGAGCCGACGTGCTGCGCTTAAACTCTGTTGTTTCACAACGACGACCCCTTACAGCGCAACCGCTACCAGCGATCCAGCAAGCGCTGCCGGTCCCAGCCGTAAGATTGAGTTTTCCTGACGCCGAAGACTTTTAGGCCGAGGCCTGCAGCTGGAAAGCCTCCTACCGGTGTCTTAAAAAACGAATGCCAAAATATAACGCAGAGAATTGATGGTTCACATGAGAGGTGAGGGGAGTTGGCTGATGGGGAGTTGGCTGGTGGAAAGTCAGGGATTATGTTATGCACCTGGAGAATTACAGAGATCACTACCGGATGTTGGACAAGCAGGGTCTGTAAAACTGCGTATTTTTTGTGTACCATGTGTGGGAGTCACTATGGGATTACTCGCTACTTGCATGGCACACACGCGATTTCGGATTGCCGGCCAAGGCGCCATTGCCCTTGCAAATTTCTGCTGACTCAGGATTCCTGTGCCGTTCTGCAAGACAGGTAACAAGTCCGGGCTTATACTGGGCCCCTTTCTATGAGATTGCTGCGGCCCGCTTGAGTTTGCTTTCGCGTTTCGATAATCCTCCGTAACTTTGGACCCATTGGTCGCAACACCCTAAGCATGGCGCAGTGCGCCAAAAGCGCGTGAGCACAAAGAACGCAAGATTAGCTTTATAACTTTGGTACTGAAAAGACGTTCCTTGCGGCGTTGCCGCTTACTGTGGCGGCGGAATTCCTGTGTCCTCTTTTGTTTGACGCCGTATGACTCAATGAACACAGGCCACATCAAGGCCACACAAGGGCAACAATTAAGGCATGGAAGCTTATCCTAAGGTTGGCGCTTAAGCGGCGCTTAGCATGAGTCGATGCCATGACTGCGTGAATCGACACATTGCGTGACGTCCGTTGACAGGGGCTTGTAGTTAATGAACCTTAAAGCCTGCTTGTTAATTGTAAGTACGCGGCAAGCGAGGGCGGCCGACCCAGGGATGGCTCCCGAGGCACCACTTGGCACCCTTTCAGGACTCATCCAAACTGGCCCCCAAGGCCAGCTGGCGGGCTAAGCAGAAATCCATCCTAGGTCCAAAGTTTTGTAGCTGCCAGAAGAGCCTCTACACTGACACTGCAACCAACGCTGCGCAAAATGCGTGCACGTGCCCAAGATCCGTCAGTAATGTCACCGTTTGCCGGTGACACCGCCAAACCAGCGCGAAGGGGAGCCAATACCGTACGCTGCATGGTACCAAGCGCACCATGACCTACCATGTCCGCTAAGCTGTAGCATGAGGTAACAGGCAAACGTAGTTACGACGATAACTCAATTAATTAGATACCTAAAACAACGGACTAACTGTCGGCAACTGCCATTCTTGTAGATGAGGCCACGATGCAAAGATGACGTTGAAGGTGCATTTAACGCACTGAACGGATACTTACAGGGTTACAGAGTAGGAGGCTTCTGGGGCACTGAACGGATACATTCATAGATGTTATGGCACCGTAGTACAAGGCCATCGCCTTGTGCTACTGGCCGCTTATACCAAAGGTTCCAGTCAACCTCATCTGTAACATTCGGTACTCTGCGTATGTGGGTGCATGGCTTTGGCTTCAAAGTAAACAAGCCGTGTTGAGGTGGGCATGCACCAGCCCTGCACAAGCTCTGCTTGGCTCTGCACACCACTTCACGCCATTACTATCTCCTGCCTCAACAGTGCCTATCCCAAAGGTTCTCGAATTCCCCGCTGCAAACGAGACGAACTCGTCTATGACATATTTCCCGTACATGCTGTATGTGTGACCTGCTCAAAATTAAGGCCTGGCGCCGGCGGAAACTTGTAGCCGCACTGAAGTGGCGCTTGAAACACAGCGCCTAAAACTATGTTCGCCTTATTGCAAGCGAGGGCCGCACCTGCAATACGTGGTAAATCCCTTAGAATGTCGAATATGAATGAACGCACGACGTTGCATTTAATCCCAACAATTCACCAATGCAAGTGTTATACCACGACTTCAGGAAAATACCGATCGGTGGATGCAGATCCCGTGATGTGCCCTCCAGGATACACACCCTGGCGGAATCTATCCCCATGAACAATTTGAAGCACCGAATCGGAGCATTGGCATTGGCCTTGGCATTGGAACTGCATGCTATTCTGGCTGTACGGCTTTACAAAATGTGTATGTAGGCGTGTCTGTACCCCTGGCAAGCAATGTCAAGGGGCAGTTGACCGTTGTTCCCAGGAAAAGGTCATTCCTGCAACGATACTCCTTTTGCTCTTTGGGATCCGAACCAGCAGACTGCCCAGTTTGTCCCTGTCCCACACCATCACCATATGGCAAAGCGCATCTAGGTTAGCAGGTGTTGTATCACGATTGTGCAGACAAGGCGGATGTCAGGTCCCGTGACACGCCGGGGATGAAAGCAACAGCAGGAGGCCAATCGTGAACCGAAGTGCCGGGCGTTCAACAGCACGCGGAACTTACTATCTGCTGCGGTCAGGCGACAAACTCGGCAAGTCCTTCCCGCATGCGGTTGCGCCCGGGCTGGTTTGAGATCCCAACGATTAACTATAACAACGTGTTACTGTCACCCATGTCTGCTTGTAGACGTAGGCGCTGCTGAAACCAACGGAAATATGCTCTGCGAATGCAGATTACCAGTCGCAAGGCGACCGTGCCACCCCTGCCAGGTGACGAGGCAGGATAGCCGAAGGCCTTTGAGATAAAGAGAAGTTGTTTGGTCGCCTGCCCTATTTGATGATGGTGGGCATGTTAGACCCCAGCACTGCAGCTACATAGAGGCCATCCAGAGCGTTGCGGACTCGCCGCTAGAAAGCACATACGGCACAGGAAGGCCAACACAACACCTAGATTATGTGTGAGGGTAAAGGGGAAAGCACAGCGCGGATGGGAAGGGTACTTTCACCAAAGTACACAAGCATGCATACTATTGATCTTCCCCAGCCCAACTTGCAGGGGCGCAAGAAGGCTTCATCGATGCATGCGGTGTGCTTGCGCCTGCCCAAAGGAAGTGTTGGTCGTTCCGGTCACAGTTTCTTCTTCGTGCAGTAAAGATATAAATAAAAGACATTCGGATTTATACCTTCTTCATATTATGGCTGCTTGCGGCCTCTTGGCAAACCGCACCGCGACTCCGGTGAGTGTGGGTGGGTGGTTGTTACAGTGGGCTCCAGACTCACGAAATACTGCTCAGGTCCCACAGTTAGCTTGCGGCTTCGCTGAAAGATTTGTAATTGTAGTCTCAGGTTAAGAAAACTTGCAGGCTGTTCATCTAAGTGCCCTGTATATAGCCATGTTCATCCTCGATTGTGGTACGTTTTGCACGTGAGGGGGGAAAGCCGGCAATGCGTCCTTAATGCTAAGTTTAAAGTAGAATAAAGAAAATAACATTATTTTTTTTGCTGCTGTCCCGCGGGTAACGCGGTGTTTGAAGCCTGTGTCGGACTGTTTGTTTTGTTTAGGGACCAACTGTGCTAGGCGCCTAAAGCGCAGAAGAAGGGTTTTCAGTGGAGCATTTATCCTGTTGTAAAGTCTCTTGTACTACAGTCGCACCGACGATTTGCACAAGTTCAGGACTTCTGCCGCGCTGAGGTAAGGCCCGGAACTAAGTGTACGAAGTAAATACTTCGGGTGCAAAAGAGAAATCAGTTTCACCTGACAAAAAAAGAGGTACATTTTTTCCAAACTGCAGATAGAGATATTCCCGAGATTCTGCCGAGACCGCATGCAATTTAGCCTCATTGCCTATCTCGGGCGGTAGTTCCAGAGCTGGAGACTCGTGGCCACAAGACTGTTACAGTGCAGCTATATACATTGCGATTATTATGGGATACATCTATTCAGGCCAATTTATAGTTCTCTTCATGCTCTGTACCAGCCTGTTTACATGGCCAGCGCTATGTTACGCTCAGGTTCAAGACGACCTAATCACTGTGTATAATCAAAGCCTACCCATATTACTCGACGGCATATCCAACTACAAATCGTAGCGCCTACGCGTCCACGTATTTGCTTTGGGCAAAGCTGGGTTTTCCAGTAGCTTTGGGCACCAGCAGCAGCTCGGCGCTCCCCATCGCGGTCGCAATCCAATTGGAATCTTCCAGCAGACTCGTGTCTATCGGCCACGAAGGCATCGTCAAAAGTGAGTCGCATTTCCTTCACAAAACGTTGCACGTACGTAGCCTTACACGGACGTAGTCTTGCTGCTTGCGTTTCAGTCAAGTTTCCAAACTCTCGCGTCTTGCAATCGACTTTTCCCAGGCCCATTTACATTTTTGGTCCCGTCTGAGTCTCTCACAACAAAACCCGCCCACATGACTCACCATAACCTGTGCCCCATCGCCTCGCCCTCGCTTGATTGGAGGCTTTCCCAAACCCACAACCCGCCCACCTGCCGGACACCGTCCTCCCGCCCGATCGTCGTCAGCCTGTTGCAACGAAACTGACGGTTGGGATACGCTGGTGCTCAACTCCTTCAAATGGCTCGCGGCCGCCAACACGGCCAACCGCAGCACTCTTCGTCTGGCGGCTGCGGCATCCATGAAGTGGTGGAGCAACCCCGCGCTAGGCTTCATCGCACAGGCAGGTTCCCTCATTCATCGCGGGCGGGTGCGCGAGGCCGGTAAACTGGCTGTGGGGGGACTACTTTCAGTCGCCGTGTGCGCTCCCCTCCCGCGTTGTTGCATTACCGCTTGCGAACACCGAGCCCACCCTTCATCAATCCTTCATGATGGCGACTCCTCGCGTCCTTCACCCATCTTCCTGTGTGCCCGCCTGTTCGCCCGTTCCCGTCTGTCCACTTCTCCGATCTGTCTGTTCATCCGTCTTTCCCTCCCTGCCCCGCGTCTCCCTGCACACCCGGGTTCACCCGCAGGCCTTACAAGCCAGCAGCGCCAGCCCCATCACCGTCACGGCGGACGCAAACGCGGATCTGACGGCCATCGCCGCTGGTAACTGGTCCAATGTAGATATCCTGTGGTAAGGTGTCGCTGTTGAGCCTGCGCACGGGTTGCGGCATCGAAGAGCTATGCACTGAACCAGCATGCGAGGGACGACGATAACCCCCCCCGGGTGTCGCTTGATTTTGCGTGTATCGCACCTTGCTCAATTTTTTTGCACAACCATTTCCTTATTAAGCAGTGTCCCAACAGCGGGTAATGTGTAGGCAGGACGGACATAGCACCTGCTGATACTTGACTAGCTGTTTCCACACGCATGATCTGGCTCGACATGGGGCGGCGGCGGCGGTAGCGGGACCCCTCGCTTGCTCCTCTCCTGATCCACCAAGGGGGATAGCAGTCATATGTCGTCCTGAACCGCAAGCAAACAAGCACCACTACTTACTCGCTATTTGTTACATGTCACTCAACATGGGCGGCTGCTGGATAATCCTATCACAATAACCCATTACCACACCCTGCCGTTTGCATCTGTCACGTGCTGCTGTTGTTGCCGTGGCTGCTGCTACTGATGCTACTGATGCTACCCTCTGCTGCAGCATCGACACTTACACAGACTACACGCCCACGCAAATCTCGGGCCTGATAGCTTTTGCCAACCAGACAGGCAAAGGTCTGCTAGTTGCAGGTATGCGTGTCAGGGGGCGTCATGTAGTCCCCTAACAGTCAGGGCGTGTCTTCACGGTGCGCGTACGTGGGCGGCACGTGTATGTAGCGGCACGTGTCCCTTAGCATCTATCATTGCATGCCCTGCAAAATCACCATTGAAGAGCGGTCTAGCTCAGCCGCCAAACAAATGAACAGAAGTGTACGTGCTGATAACTAGTACTAGTCAAACGTGTACACGCATGCATGCGTTACGTTCACGTAAGCAGTGCCCGTGAAGCGCTCGTCCGCGTGAACGCATGCACAGGGACCCTCCGTCGACCCACACGTAGCGTGCAAGTGCAAAGCCCCCTCAACCAATTTTCACGTCCACCCACGATCCTTATGCGCAATATGAAGGCCACGCCTGGAACTGGGGCGCCTCACACCCCGGTGCCAACATCTTCACTGACTTGGCAATCAACAAGATTCTGTGGCCGCTGGGCTTGCTGGTCACTACAGACGCACAGTCGGGGCCTCAGGTAGGTCGGTAGTTGGGGGTAGTTGCTGGGGGTAGTAGTCCGCCGCCCGCATAAGCCTACCGCTTATTGTGAACGTATCGCTCAGGCTGTGAAAGGATATATATGCACCTGCGGGATGAAAATCGCGGCAGCTATCAGTGTTTCCCGAGAGGACGAAAAAACCCAGTGCCTGATCGACGGCACGGAGTTCAGAGGAGACTGTTTCTCGGGAGTTTCTGCACGCATTTGCACAGTGTACGGCGCTGTCGCGAGTACTCTCGTTCGCAGTCAGGAGTAAAATATGAAGCTCGTCGCCTGCTGCTTGCCTGTACCACCTGGCTGCTGGGAAAGCGACTCGCAATGACGCACACATGGACAGTAACCTCCGTGGTGTTGGTGTGCGGTTCGTCGCGGAGGCTGACTACCCGTGGATTAACCGATGCATGCAATGCACTTCATTCGTAGCTTCCGTCTTCAGCCTCCGCCCGCGTGTCCGAATGCTATGATGTGTATGTATCCGGATGTGTATGTGCCCCAGCTACAGATAGAGTGCGCTAGCATTCTTCAAGTGGTACTCCGAACTGCGGTGTGCACGCCTACCATCCTGCATGTGATGCACGTATGGATGTACACACCACACCACACCACACCACACCACACCACACCACACCACACCACACCACACCACACCACACCACACCACACCACACCACACCACACCACACCACACCACACCACACCACACCACACCACACCACACCACACCACACCACAACACCACACCACACCACACCACACCACACCACACCACACCACACCACACCTGGGTGCAGGCCCCGCCGGCGTCGCTTCCTCCGCGTCATTGGCTCTACTACAACGCCCACTACGTTGTGGTGAGTGTGGGTTGGGCGAATGAAGCGACGGCAATCTACTTGGCAAAGGAAGTAGGGCAGTGACGAATGTATACCTGTAGACGTGCAGATGTGCAGTCTGAGCCATGACGGAAGGAAGCCTAGTGAAGGACGGACGTTTGACCTGTAATGAATTACAAGCAAAGGTCGAACAGAAATCCGGAAATCTGGTGACCGCTTTCGCCTAAACGGCCCCCGCCTGCCTCTACCTTGGTTCACCCTGTCTGCCCTACTCGGCCATTTCGATTGACATGGTCCTCTACCTATGTGGGCAAGCATGCACGTCCCCATACACATATCGTTACTGGTGCCTGCCTGACACGCCCATGCATTATGCAGAGCTCTCTGGTCGCAGCAAAGGACGGCGGGCCCGCGTTTCCGCCGCCGGCATACACTTCGACAGGTATGTATAGGTGAATTGCGGCGTGTGCTACATTCGCAGCTGTCCACCGGCACGGGCCGGCGGGTGCCCGGGGACAGATAATTGGATTGCCGTGCGCAATGAAGCATCCGCCACGGAATGCACTACAGCAGTACAGCTCCGTTCGTGGCCTACTTGCCACGGGTGCCAGCTGCAGGCGAAACGCAGCTGTACTACTGTTACTATTACTTGATACAGCGCCGTCGGACCGTCGTTTGTACGTGCGTGTACTTGTGGAGCAGCGGGCTGGCAGCTAGCTTTCGTTGTTACCTGCGTGGCTGCCGTGGGGCAGCCCTGCGGCATGTTGCTTGCCAGCTGAGCTGTCAGCAGGGGTCTGTGTGGAGTGCATCCACATCGCCCCCAACCGTGCCACCGGCCGTGTTGCCGCATCCCGCCCTCCCCGCGCGCCGTTCCCTCCTCCCGCATTCCGTGTCAGTCCTCCAGACACTTCAGCAGCTGTCAAGTACGTTGTCAGACCGAACCAGCAGCGGCAACATCAGCGGCCTCGACGGGATATGGAACATGCTCGACTCCATCACCGGCCGCAGTGTCGCCATAGGGCCCAACAACCCGCTAAACGTCACTGCCGCCAACAGCAGCACGGTCATGGCGGTGAGTGTCTGGGCCAGCGCCTCGCGCTGCTGTATGTGCATGTTGAGAAAATTTGTCTATGTGCGTTAGCGCGCGCGCGTGTGTGTGTGTGTGTGTGTGTGTGTGTGTGTGTGTGTGTGTGTGTGTGTGTGTCTCACCTTTTTTGAGTTGCATTACTCTTTAGGGGGCCTGTACGAGCCCTGAGGGGCCTAAGGGCCAATCGATAGCTGTCCAAAGTAATGGATACGTGTGATCTATGCTATAGGAGGTGCAAGTCGCACGCTCCTGCAGGCATACACACACGCACGCACATACATACACACACGCAGAGAGTCTCTTGCTCGTCGCTCCTTGCTGTTACCCACGTGTACGGGTTCCGGATCAAGAAGCGATACCTCTTGCTTAGTACTACAAAAGCTTGCCTGCGGCGAGTAGATGTGATCGCTCTCAACTGGGGGTCGATACGCGCGCAAGTGTACCGCAAGGCGCCGAGCGGCCGCAAGCCGCCGCACATTTCCGTTGCTGCCGTAGCCGCCGCTCCTTTCAGCTGCCACTGCTACCCTCCTGCCCTCAATCTGTCGTGCTCTACCTGGTTCTATAAATGGTTCATGCATTCAGGTGATGATGGAGGTCATGGCCATCAAACGCGGCGACATTTTCAACCTGACCGCCTCCCCCTCTGCGCCACTCTACCCGGGCTCGGTTTCTGCAAACGCGACTCGGGTTACTGTCACTCTGACGGTCAACGCGTCGTACAACCCGCCGCCGTATAGGTTAATGTATGGCGGCTATCCAGGCCGCCTGTGGCGGTCAACGGGGTTGTATGCGGCCCCCGGTGAGATCATCAACATTACATTGGGTACGGCAGCCGCAGTCGGCAAGGGCCTTCAAGTGCAGGTACGTGGTGCATATGTACGCATATGTAAGGCATGTAGGTCCTGAAAGGGAGAAGAAACGTTTCCGCTGGCCCGAAATTTTGGCATGTGTAAGGGTGGTTGTTTTTGCCATTATGCTATTTATTTTATAAGAATATCAGTTATATAATCTGCACTAACAATAATGGGAATCAAGGACATGCATATGCGTGCGAAACACACATACACACGCACACACAAATTTATTTGGTGCGCGGCACCCCTACTTGCCAGCTTAGGTCGCATCCAGTAAATCAGCTCGAGTCGAATCCGGATCCGGTACAAACAATCAAGCGGCGTACGACATGCCCTTGCAGATCGGCGCCCACACCGACGATCTCACATCCCAGCCCATGTGGTACCGGATGCCGTACACCTACACCCGCGTCACTCTCAAGGCCAACATCACATCAGCCGGCAATCCGCTTGGCGGCCAGGTTTTCATCCTGGTATCACCGGGGACAAATCTGGGGGCTGTACAGGTGGGTGGGCTGACGGTAGGATTGATGTACCTGCTGCCGCCGGGGCATACACGTAGGGCGGCACACGTTTCTGTGTTGCTGTTTGTTGCCTGCCTGCCTGCCGCCGCCGCAAGTATGTATGTGTGGGTTGCAAACTCCCGTGTGTGGCAAACTCCCTTCCATCCTTGTACTTTTACGAGCCGTCGCGCATCTGCAGGACGCATCTGCATGACCTATAATTGGTTTGTTTGTGTGGCCACTCCCCCCGTCTCGTGCGCACACACACACACACACACACACGCACACACACAATATATATACATATAACATAGAATATATATTTGGCCCGTGCGCGACTTGTGCGGCTTGCGGTTTGCCGGCCGCAGGTGACAATCAGCGGCGCTGTGCGGGCGCCTTGGTTCCGTCTGGGAATTGACACACCGGTAAGTGGAGAGCCTCTCTTGAGCGTGCGCCCTGCTGGCTGGCTGGCTACCGCTTTATTACGAGCAGCAGATTTGGGCAGGTAGTACGAAGTCCCCAGCGTCCCCGCGATGTAGAGCACTTTGACCCGACCTCTCCATCTTCTGCACTTTGACTGTTGTGCACTGTGTCTACACACCCGCAACCGTCTTGGCCAACAGACGCACATGTAGCTGATACAAACATGCACTATTCGTATGCGCTCCTAGGCAGGTGGTTTTCCTGCCTAGGCATGATGCATTCGGGGCCCTGCTGGTGGTCGAAGTGAGACACACGGTTGAAGAAACGTCCATCAATTTTGCTTGCTGTTGATTACGTGGACGCTACCACACCTTGCATGCACACCCTCAGGCCACCTGGGTCAGCACTGTTCGCGACTACCCCGCCCCTTGGGCTGAACTAGATAGTGGGAAGATAATTCTCATGCTGCCGTCCAAGGTAAGCGACCGGATGTCTTGGTGAAGGGATGGTGGGTGAATGGGGGTCTTGCATACTGCTGCTGCGGCGCGTCTGTGTTTCCTACGAGACACAGACACACGCCCCATCTACAGCTGGTACGTATGTACACTTTCAACCAAGCCAATAACCAATTCCCCCAGTCACCGACCATTCCCACCTACCTACCTACCTACCTACATAAGAAGTAGCCAAAACCCATCCCACGTATGTATCTAAATAATTCCTCGATGTACTTATGTACACCACCACCCGCTACAGGCCATCAGGAACATGTCCGATCCGACAGCCGTACTTGAACATTGGAACCAGGTCCTGGACAACATGGCGGATCTTGGCTCCATGTCCCGGCAGAGGGCGCGTGCAGGTGGGTAGGTGGGTGGGTGATAGTGGGTGGGTGGGTGGGTGGAAGTGTGCATATCGGCTTCCACGCTTACGTAGGTAAACCTACCTGATGTGATGCACTCAATGAGTTGAATAAGTTTAGGCATACGCTTTGTAACTCAATAAGGCAAGTCCGGAGGCGTTGCTGTTACTTGTCCCCCTTGTCTCCTCCCGAAAGTCTACGACCAAGAAGATCCTCTAGCATGGCTGTATACATGTATGTATGTTGTTACAGGGTGGTTAACTTCGCCAGCGGCCCCCTTTCCCGGGGCAGTCCCTGCTCTCCCCTGCTAGAGGGGCACCCTAATCCGTCACCCCATCCAACTTCAGAATGTATTCGTTGGGTTCGGCAACTCACCACCAGCATCCAACCAAATCTAGCGGATCAACGGCGCATCAACTTAGTTCCTGGTTAGCTCGCAAGTTGATTTTATCATGTCCTACATCGTCCATATGATGGGGGACCACCTCCCATTTCATCACTCCTCAAACACCCGAGGAGCCGGCAGGCGGATTTGATATGTATGTATGTATGTGTCGTATCCTGGGCTACTGGTGATGATGATCTGTGCCATCACATCTGGTAAGGGGGATGTAACAGTGGTATGGTGCTATCGTGCGTCAACAGTTTCGGTTCGGGTAACTGTCATGCTGTACTCGGAGCGATTGCGTAATGTCAACGAACGCACAGAAGAGAAACCTTTTTTTGTTCCAAACCCCGCTTCCTCCCTCGACGTCTAACTAACGCTTTAACTAAGTAATATGCTGCAGTTGCAACTCCCACTGCAAGCGCTGCCCCTGCTGCTGCTGCCCCTGCTGCTCCTATGTGTTCCTGTACGCATACGCATTGTGTGGTTGCCACTGCTCTCTGGCCGCTGCTGCCGCTACCGGGATGGACAGAACGCTTCCTGGTGGATGCACAAATTGGCGGTGGCTGGATGCACTCGGGGTACCCAATCATGGCGTACGATGTCACAAGTGTATACAACGTAGGTCATATGCATGTTGATGGTGATCATTATCGTTCTGGGGCGGCCTCTGGTGGCTGGTGAGTTGTTAGCTGCTGCACGTGTGTGGTGATGAGGGAATATATTTGGACGGATGAATGCATGTGGTGGAGAAGTGGGGAAACCACCCAACCACCCAACCACCCACCCAACCACCTTGACCCGCTCTCCAACGACCCAGCCATGAATGGCGTTCCGGTGCTGGCAACCCTGGGTAGATGCGGGGGTGCACGTCCCTTTGCAATTGAAGCGAGCCTCGCATTACACAGGGCAAAACATATTCCGGAATCAATGGACTTCCCCACCTAGCGTATCGGATATTGTAATGTTACAGAGTGGGAGGCTTCTGGGCCACTTTATCACATTGTCAGTTCTAGATCATTTATCACCTTATAGCACCATCCACCAGTACCACACTGTACTTCGCCATACGAACTGTAAGTCCAAGGCGGCCGATCCAGCCTTCAGGGACCCCACCTCATCCATTCACCCGAACACCCGAAGAGACGGAGGGTTCGGCAATCGCCACCAATCCAGCGTGCGAATCTGGTCCATCAACTGTGACCTCAACTCCACATCTCAGCAGCTAGCCATAGTCTCGCGCTCCCGACTAATTCGGGGGTCTCCCCAGGAATCGAACCCAGGACCTTAAACTGCTAATTGCAGTAGTGTCAACCCAGACCAGACCAGATACGCACATGCATGCATTGCGCCTTAGGACCGGCGTTGACTCGCTGGCTCCCTTTCTTAATGCGTCAAGCATGCCGCCTGCTTACCAGCCCAACGTCAATCATCCTATTTGTTTACCTACTTACGTATATCCATGTGTATTCACCCCCTGAATGCATGTTTGCCCCGCAGGAAGTGCTGAATGTGACCTATCTGCAGGTGGGAGGCAATGTGCTCGAAATGTGTGGAAGGGTGTCCTGGAATCCCGTTAGGGCCTTATTAGATCCATGTGAAGAGGCGTGGGGTGCGGCTTCTTGGTGGTGGAGATGACAGATGCACAGCATAGCGATGTAGGCACCTGACGGCATGCAGCCCTGTTCCACCGTTGCCAGCCAAGCGCACGTCCGGCCACCCCGTTGCGTACACGTACACGTGCACGTACTGCAAACGAGCGCACCCCGGCGCTGCCCCTCCCGCACATGCCGAGTCGTGTCGTCCCTTTCCGCCTGGGGGCGAGCGGAGGCGCATGTACGCACACACATACACACACAGGCGTGCGTCCTCCCGGAGACTGTTGCATACGATGTACCCCCCAGCAGTCTCAAGAGATTTGCAGCATTTAACTCGCTGACATGCTCCTGCGGCGTAGCGCATGACTACACACATAAAACTCGCCGCCGTCACATATGTACATACATACATACTTAACTTAGTAAAGGCGCGCTCTGTGTTGCATTTGATTACAACCAGAGTCTATGTGCGCGCTTTCTCCTACCAAGCATGCGCGCATGTATCTATTTATGTCATGCCTTGCTTGCAGACCGAGGGTGCCTGGGGCCCCTTCCACGAGTTGGGCCACAACCACCAGTGGAGCGAGATGCAGTTCTCGGGAACCACCGAGAGCTTTGTGAACCTCTTCACTGTGTATGCGCTGGTAAGATGGCTGGGGGTTTGTGGGTGGGGTGGTGGGGTGGGGTGAGTGCCATCTTGTGCCATCGGGTCGTTTGTCGCAGGACAGTGCAGCTCGGCAAACAAAAGGTGTACTACTTGGCAGGAAGTCGAAAGGCCCTCTTGAGATACTGGCAGGGTGCTTCAACCGGTGCTTATACACGGTTACATACAAGTGTGCTGTACGGCAGTTACATGTATGTTTGTGCACATGTACGCAATGTGCAAGACCCTAAGAAATTTCCTTCACAGTGCTCCAAACTGTTTTGTTTGGAGGTGGAGGTTCTCAGGATCACGACGAGCTTACCCTACCTGTGCACTGTGAACTGTGTACTGCCGCATGCACCCGCACCCACGCAGGAGAGGACGGGGGTGCCCACGGCCGCCTGGGGCAACTACGGCGCAGTGTCGGCTGACGGCCGTGCTGCCAACCGCGCGGCCTACTTTGCTAATGGGGCTCAATGGGCCGCGGACTGGTCCGTGTGGGTGGCATTGGATACCTACTTGCAGGTGGGCTGGTTGGATGGCAGATGTAAGTTGGGAGCAGATCAGAGTTTCTGCATTGCAAATGGTGGTAGCTATAGACCTGGCCGGCCGGCCTGCAGGCAGTGCAGAGTGCGCGTGTGGGAGCTTGCCGGTTCCTTACCTATCACATTTCGGGTTGTCTGGATGTGTTCGCTGCTGGCTGGTCCGCGGACCGCTTAGGTGACCAGGGGGTGCCCTTACACAGCGGCACGTGCCCTCACAGATGTGCCTGTCTGTCTGTCCGCCACGGCTCCGAAAGGCGCTATCCGTACCCGTACCGTTCTGCCTGAAGGTGTACGCTTCAACCCATGATACTTTCAACCCATGCGCCTGAAGAAATTTCTACGCACGTCTCCCCCCCCCGCACGTGTATACGTCCGTCCGTACAGCTTAAGGAGGGATTTGGCTGGGATCTTTACAAGAACCTGTACAAGGTCTACCAAAACTTCACTTACCCTCTCCCGGTGCGAGCGAGGTTTTGATGGGGCTGGACGTGAGAACCAGTAGCAGTCAGCAGAAACGGGATAATGTCCAGTTGGGAGTGAGACGAGTGACGGCCTCGCTTTGCAACACAATAATGCTGCATCTGCTGTCGTACCGGCGGGGCTGATGCTGCATTTGCTGTCGTACCGGCGGGGCTGATGCTGCATCTGCTGTCGTACCGGCGGGGCTGATGTAAGTGTTACGGTAGGTAGGTAGGTACGTGTATGTATGTATCTAGCAACCCGGTCATCCGGTGACCCGTGGGCCCATGCGTGTATGTGAGGTTACAGCTCAGCTACCGCGTGGTGTCCCCTGCTGGGGGGGGCGCTATATTTACTAGGAACCCTGTTGTCCGTATGTCCACACGTCGTCATATGTATGATGTTGTTACAGGGTGGTATATGTATGTATGATGTGTGGGACAGGGGGCCATATCTTCACCCGTGGCCGCTTACCCTGCGAAACCCTGCCTCCCCCGGTGTTTCGGGGCACCCTCATCCAGTCACCCTAGCCGAGGTCTCAGTGGATCGCCCAGGTTCAGCACCCACCACCGGCATGTATGCATTTATGTATGATGTTGACTGTGTTGTGGGCTTAAGAGCCGGGGGCCCAGGGCCGAAACACAGCGTGGGGGGCAGACGCACATGTATGCATGTATGTATGTGCTTTCATATTGGCCCACCTTCACGCGCAGGACGACAACGTGCAGACGTTCATTCAGACCTCGAGCCGCATTGCGGGTGAGTGTTATGACGAGCTCAGCTGGACGGGGCGGGGCGGCGCGGGGTGCGCATGCAGAGGCGTGCGCATGCTGCTGGCAACCACGCGACCCATTCGCCTTGTCAGCCCTTGCAAGTAGCACTGCTCTCCAGAAAGCTCGCTATATCTGCCTCATTCGCGAGTCGATTGACTATCAGTTCCATCCTTGGCACCAATCCTTGTCCAGCCGGCTCACCCATGTTCCCGGTTAAGCTCCCCTACTCGTCCCCGCGCTGTGCTGCCAGGTATCTAGCCATTGTGGCGGTTGCTGCATTGACCGACCGCCACCACCATTGCCTTGTTGGATTACGTTATGCCTCAACACACACTCTCTCTCTCTCTGACACACCCGCACACACAACCCTAGACCGGTTATGCGTCCGCTCCTCGACCGCTTGCTCGTTGCAGGTGTGGACCTGGTACCATTCTACCGGGCGTGGGGCTTCCCAGTGACCAACCGGACCGCCAACCTCACAGCGGGGCTACCGGAATGGAGGGACAGCCCGATGAGGTGGGTGATATGAGGACAGAGGAAGGGGACGAGGGTCGTATGTGTGTGCCGTATATGCATGTGCACATACGCATGTGCATATGTGCGTATCTTGGGTCGCGCGCGTGCACGTGCTCAAGTACGAGTAACGAAATGGGCCTGCCTGCTGCAGGGCTTGGGGGGTGACGTGGACGGTGCTCAAGAGGACGACTTAGGGTTTATTGCGACATCATTTTTGACTCCACATATAAGCCCCGAAATCGCCTACATACCCGATGCGGAACATTAGCTCAAAACTGCACACATAGCCCTCCGCTGCAATTTGTTAGATCGTCCCTTAGGAGGTGGCGAGACATATGCACACACACACACACACACACACACACACGTACCGATCTTTCAGCTCCGAATTACATCGTGTCCGTAGAAACAGCTTATGGATTGTCTCTCTCGCTGCGTTCCACCCCTTCCTCGTAGGCCGCCAAGTCCTCCCCAAAGTCCTCCTTCAGCTATGCCTCCACTTCCGCCTCCAAGGGCGCAGTCGCCACCGCCACCTGTGGTCACCAACACGACTTCCAACACCACCCGCCCGCCCGGCCCCGTTCCCATCCCGACCTGCCGCGTAACGGACCGCGTGTGTCGGGACTGCCACCACTCACCGGACGTGACCAACGCCACCGCCTGCGGGTCCTGCGTGGCGGAGATGCGGCAGCAGGGACTGAACCCGTCTCTCTGTGTTGAGTGTGCGGGGTACGGCAACACGTCCTCAGCTGTACAAGGCGTGTGTATGGCGGAGTGTGTGATGCAGGCGGCATCCAGGGGTACGTGCGTGGGTCCCTAGCTAGCAGGGCGGGAGCAGGCAAGAGGAAAGGGTGTGCGTGCTGAACTGAACCAGCAGAAGAAGAAGGAGAGGGGGAAATGCAAAGACTTTCCTTTATTGCTGCGTTGCCTGGCAATTAAGCCGGGACGTGCGCTCGTTGCAAAAAGCCGTAGATTTTTCTAGAGGGATAGGGAGAGGAAAGAGGATTAGATAAGATTACACTATCACTACCCCTAAAATACAATCTACGGGATTTTCCCTGCTGAGGCGCATCCCTCCCTAAATTCACATACTCACGCACTTTACTTAATGATTAGAGAAACACGCGGATAACCTCCCCTCCCCCCTCGCAGGCCTTTCCTGGGCGTGCTCGAGGATATGTGCCAACCAGCACAACGTGGGTGAGGACCCCGCCCTGGCACGGCAGTGCGCCACTTGCATCTTGGGCGCGAAGGACGCCTGGGCGTGTGCCCAATGCATTGAGGTGGGTACGCGGTGTGGGGTGAGTGCATCCGGTTGGGTGCATCCGTCTGCCGCTTTGCTACTTTTGCCTTCACGGCTACCCGCCTCTGCCTATCTGCTAGCCATGAGTGTCTGTCTGACTCAGGCGCCCATGACGGATCAAGCACTTTTCCGGGCCAAGCTGATGACCCCATCTGTCACTATCTTACATGCTTTGGAATGGGCCTGTTTCCGCAAATACCCCGCCACGTCGTGTGCATCCACCGTCTCACGCCGCACTCGCGCGTTGTTACCCTGATCCGGTACCCCTCGTCGCCGCTCTCGCACCCAACGCAACCAGGCGACCCGTTGCTTGCCCGACTGGCAAGACGCCAGGGCCAAGTGCTTTGAGTGCGTTGCCTCGGGCGGAGACGGAAGTTCCTGCATCGGCTGCTCCCGCCTAGGTTCTTTCACCGCACGCACGGCCTGCATGGCCTCCTGCTCCTCGGGCATTGCTTCGTGAGACCCCGTCAAACGCAGTCATAGCAGCGGAATGAAGGTGCAGGTGAGGGGTGCAGTAGACCTTTTGCGCTTGACTCAGAAAATGACCAGGCCGGGGTCGCCAGCTGGCTCTGGCAACCCGTTCGCCCATCCCAAGGTCCTTCGTTCAATCGCGCACGAAGGATTTACGCATGTGGTTAAGGTTAGCCGTTCAATGGCGCACAGCCCACGGCCAAGGCGATCAAGAGGTACAAGGTGGGGCAGTTATTGATTGTTTTGGAGTTCCGATGCCGTTCATGTGCCGCTGGGAAAGGCGACACGAGTTATGGGGATGTATGAGCAGGCGGCGATTGGGGCCCCCATCACAGGCACTTGCCGCTGTACCGTACGCACGATCGCACCACGAGCCAGAAGCTGGGGCCAAATCGCTGCGTATTGTCGTTACCAGCTTACCTGTATGGCTAGTCGATGGGTCTTCGCGAAGCAAGGGAAGATGCGGTTTTGCTTGGAGGGTCGTTATCTCGGCGGGCCACTGGGGGGCCGGTGGTCGTGCCTCTCATGAAGGTGGTTGGCGTCTGTCCGCTTAGGGCGCCTAACGGCCGATGTTCCAAACCCCCTGCCCTCATGCACGGACTAACTGGGTCGGGGCTCAGGGCAGTCTGCAATTTGGACGCGCCCTGCCCTGCACTGCCGGGGCGTTTGTTTGTTATGTGTCTGCGTGTTCCTGATTGCCTCGTCTGAAGTGGTCGTCAGCTTCCCGCTTACCGTGTGTGCGTATCGGGCCTATTATTACATTCAGCATGCAGTCAAACAGACGGGACCTTTGGTATCGGTCGTGATCTTCTTTGTGTCATCATGAGACCGCTAGCTCGTCTGGATTGAACCTGGTACGGGGCCGCCACCACCGGACAATGTGCACCAGGAGGAGTGGACACGCAAATATACACGCATCCACGAATCCAATGCACACATGCATACACGCATGCATATACGTATATATAAGGGTTTGGCACCACTGGTAAGGCGCGACCACTGCCCCCGGGAGATCCCGGGATCGATACCCGTTAGGGTCAAAAGTTCTTCCGATGGTGGAAGGCATTGCGCCCCTAGTTGGTGGACGGTGGTGACCTGGGATAAAGTTAACCTGCGAGCCGACCAGGAACGGAGTTGGGCCGCTGTCGACCCGGCAGATTCCGTTGGATGCTGGTGGTGGGTGCGGAACCTGAGCGATCCACTAAGAAGTTGACTAGGGTGACTGGATGAGGGTGCCCCGAAATACCGGGGAAGGCAGGGTTTCGCAGGGTAGCTGCCACGGGCGAAGATACACCCCCCTGTTTCACACATGCATATACGCACACACGCTGGCTGACAAGCATGTGATGCAGTCATTGCGATTTGTATGCAGTTATCCAGTTTTGGCATGTCGTCGTGAATTTCCATGCAAGCACGCCTTCCTCACGCATCACTTCGGTGTCCCGTCACGCACCTTCGTGAAAGGGATTATGGGTGCATGCTCATCCTAGCAATAGCTATATTTGGTAATGTGGTAGGTCATCGTATTCGCAGTTACTTGCTTTTGCAATTCTTCATCGGCTTTGTCCGAGTTGCCGTACCCATGCGTACCAGTTTTTCATTGCCTAATAATTGGATGGGAGCGAGCGCATACATCCTGTCTGCCACCTTCGCGCTCTACAAGACCAGAGACCACGCTGATATATGATTGAGTGTGATAGAGGGGTTAATAGATGTGCACACGTGGGGCCACTAGCCTGGCAGTCCCTACTTCGCCTGTGTGTTTTGGGGCTCCCTCAGGCTTCCCATCCACGTATGCCGACTTCCGCGAAGTCAGTGATACGTATGCCGCATGTGCTTTTGTGCAGAACATCCATGCCTCGTGTGTTCAGCGCATCGTATATTTCGCATTTCTATCCCTTCGCCCTTCCGTCTCTCCTTCCTTAGCATTATTCACCTCCAATTCCTCCTGATATGTATGAAGCTAGAAAGCGCAAATGGTGCAGGGCGGGTACGACAGCAGATAAACAGGCAGGCAGGTAGGGAACAAACCTCCCACTGCTAGCGAGAGCATGCTCAGATATTGACCCTGAATTGGTTTGTTGGGATGGATGAAATGTGTCCACGTGCTGTAGCGGCGGATACTGGCTGGGGTTGTATTTACCAGGTCTGTTGTTGTATTTTGTTGCAAAGTGCAATATGGAAATTCCAGAGGTATTGCCTTGCCAGAGTCAACTGCACACTACGTTCATATAGAGACCGTATGTGCGGCGGATAGTATCGGATGGTTGGCATGGTCGCGCTGGTATCCTTTCGGTCGCTCTGCGTTTTCCACGCGCAAGGCCCGGTGCTTTCAAGGGCACATGCTTTCGTGTCTGGCTTATTGGCAGTATTTCTAAATGTGGTTTCTAGTAATCAAATGGTTACTGAGATAACAGCTCCCTTCCGGAAGGTGGCCACTACTTGGAAAAGCAGCTTTCGTCGCAAATCAGTGGCCTATCGATAGCTCTTGCCGTGCCATACCATGACGATCAGGGGCCGTACATACTGGTACGTACGACCTCTGTCTCCGTACATGCATTCTACACAAACCTCGCGACATCCATACCCCACCCTCGCCCCTCTCAACCAACCACAACCAACCACAACACCGCCCTCCGCAGTGCACCGCACCAGGCGGACATTTATATACATGGCGAGCCGACGTAGTTCTAATGCCGTACAACCAGCCGGGCAAGAATACATCCACTCATCAGAGTCCCAACTCCAGCAACCAGGTTGTTAAAGGGTCGTACTGAGCTACGAGGCAGACAGAGTCGTCAACAAAGTTGTTAAAATTGTAGCTTAGATGCGGCAGGAGCAAAGCGAGTATAGCCTCTAAGCTAGGTTATGTACGGCAGCCGTATGGCTTGCTGAGAATTCGAATTTACTATTTCAGCTGACAGCTCCATAGTTCCGGCATTCTGCCTACACTATTGGAGCTTATTATTATTGTTGCTCTCACTTTTATCCAAGACCTTACCGACTACCCTCAAGCCTCATCGACGCTCTACCACAACGAATCGACATCGCCGCGGACCTGTCACTCTCCGAGGAACAACCAGGAGCTCCGTCACAAAAAATCAAAAAATGACGGGTAAGAGGACAAAGGCAACGGGAGATAACCTGGTCAACGCAGGAGCGGCCGAAGCAGCCGGCGAAGGGGGATCGGGCCAGATGCTGCCAGCCAACCAAAACGACATAGAAGCCGCCATCGATACTTTGAGCGGGAACATAGACCAGCCGACTCTTCACCAGCTGCTGCTGGGCGTCCTGTCAGCAGCGCAGGCCAACGCGCGGGTCCCTCTTGCGAGGGAGAGACCGGCAGGGTGGAGTGCGGGATTCGTTTGGTAGTGCACGCCGGAACGACCGCAGCCGCTATGACCGCTACGACCGGCGCAGCCAGCGTGACCGAAGCCGCTCTCGCAGCCCGGCTAAGCGTGGCTGATTAGGATTCTGTTGGGCTTTGTGTTGCTTGACTCTGGCACTGCACCGATCCTACCCCCCTCCTTTTTTCTTAAGCTCGCTCAGTGGCCCCTCCGTGCAGTTCGCGGTCGTTGTTGTTGCAGGGGCCCACAAGTCCGACAAACATTATTGGGTTGGAACGGAGTATGCTTTGGCCCAATCTTTGACAAGACTTGTTATGCTAAGTTGCACATCCGGTCTCTTCCAGACCTTCCACCGCTAGAAGATGTCGGACCAAGTTGTACCCTGGAGGGAGGTTTCTTTGTAACGCGCGCGAGCTCTTGCCCTTGGTGGCGCCTGTGATTGGCCTTGGGGCCTTATTGCCATGTTGGCTCGGTCCTGTTGACCATGGCGGCTTCCAGGCCCAGGTGGCCGGCTTCAGGCTGGACCTGTCCTTTCCTCCGTCCGAGTTCCCCTCTTCATGCATGTACCCAACAACGACAGAGAGGCATCAAACAGGTTGATGGCTCTGGTGGCCCCGTCCCCTGCGGCGCAGGTCGCCCCTGAGTAGCCTGTTCGGTTTTCTCCGTCATCCCAGGAGGGGCGGCTTCCCACCGTTTCGTAGCCTCAGTCGCCAGGAGCCCCGGCCTCTACTCATCTCCCCCTCTTTTATCCTTTGTCTCTTGCAATGCAGAGAATTTGGCCGCCACAGTACTGGGCGCACTGTTCGTCGCCGCGGGTTTTAGAGCCCCTCGCCCCGCGCAGCCCCCCCCTGCCCAACGAGACAACACACAAGTGGAGACCAAGAACACCGCCAAGCGTCCCGCACCCGGCCCTGCAGAGCCCACCCGGCCCCGGACCAAGGTCGCCCGCCAAGCCCAGGAACCACATCCAGACCCAGGAGCCCCTTCGAGGAATGAACAAGCGGTCCCAGAAGGTGAGAACCCAGCACCTTTGCCTGTTGATCCGCCTTGTGAAGCCACACCTCCTAGCATGGGTAGCAAGGATAGGCCTAAGATGCGGGGGCGTTTGAGAGCCTGTGCCGCGGTCTGGAAGGCGACAGTGGTGAACCAGCTCGTGCTGAGCTGGGTCCTGCAAGGGTTCCCTCTGATGTGGCACTCAGGACCTCCCCCCCGGCCGTACTGGGGCAAGAATCACCAATCTGCACGGGACCACGGGGATTTTGTGTCTTCTGCCATCGAGGGTTTGCTGGAGTCAGAGACCATCAAACCTTGCCAGTCCCGCCCTTTCATGACCTGTCCTTTGGGCGTCGTAGAGCAGAAAGGCAAGCTCCGCCTCATCTGGGATGGACGCGAAGTCAATAAGCACCTGCACATCCCGGAGTTCCGTTATGAGTCGCTTGCGCAGGTCCCAGGCTGGCTAGGCCCCAAGGACTACATGTTCACCCTGGACCTGAAGTCTGGCTACCACCATATGGACGTACGCGAAGCAGACTGGCGCTACCTTGGTTTTGAATGGCAAGGCCAGTTCTACGTCTTTACACAACTCCCTTTCGGCCTTGCCTCCGCCTGTTGGGCATTCACCAAGCTAACATGCGAGATCATGCGGACTTGGAGACGGAAGGGCTGGCGGTGCTCAGGATACATCGATGATCAGATCCACGCCCACCAGGATGCCCAGACCCTCATCGCCCGCCGCACCATAATCCTCGACCTCCTTGAGCGCCTGGGGTTCTGCATGAACCGTGACAAGTCAATGATGGGCGAGCCCCAGCAGCAAGTGAGGTACCTGGGTATGCTGTTAGATACAGCTAAGGGCGTGTACATTGTGCCTGAAGATAAGCGCACTTTCCTGCTCGACTGCATCCGCTCGGCTCTGGGAAAACGGCGCATCAAGGCGAGACAATTGGCCTCCATAAAAGGGCAGCTTCTGTCCATGTCCTGGGCGTTCGGGCAAGTAGCCCGCCTCTACACCCGGGCTCTGGGGCAGGATATTGAGTCGCGCCACACCTGGGATACCCACATCCGCTTATCTAACGACGCAACTGCAGAGCTCGAATTCTGGCTGCGCTGTTTCGACCGGTTTAACGGAACCCGTGCCCTCTGGGAGCCCACACAGGTGCACTCGGTCGTTTTCTGCGATGCAGCCGGGAAATCCCCCAAGCACCTCGGGGGTTGGGGTGCCTGGACGCTGATCGACGGGAAGTTGGCCCAAGCCCGCGGTAATTGGGGAGTAAGGGTCAGTTCGATGGGGTCAACGCCCCAGGAGCTCCAGGCAGTCCTACACGCACTTCAATCCTTCAACGGTCCTGCAGGCCTACGACACCAAGTCGTCCGGGTGATTACTGACAATCTCAATTGCGCCAACGTCCTCAACAAAGGGTCCGCAAAAGCCGAGGACTCGTACCGGATTGCCTGCGAAATCTTTTGGTACTGTATTGCCGAGGGTATCACACTGCAGGTGGAGTGGCGGCCGCGAGAAGAAAACACTCTGGCGGACTACCTCTCAAAGCTGCAGGACCGGGACGACTGGATGGTGAACCGTAAGGAATTTCAGAGGCTCAACACCGCCTGGGGCCCCTTTGACATTGATCTTTTCGCGTCACACACCAATCACCAGCTGCCACAATACTATTCCCGCTTTTTCACGCCAGATACCGCGGGTGTAGATGCCTTCGGTTCCACTGGGGGCGGAATTGCTGGGCGAACCCGCCTTTCTGTTTGCTACTTAAGGTCCTGCGGCACGCAGAGCTGTGCAAAGCACGCATCTGTCTGATCGTTCCCCTCTGGCCGACGCGCGACTGGTGGTCCTATCTGACTCAAGACGGGAAGTGGTTTGCGCCTTGCGTCCACGGCCTAAGAGAGCTGGGCAAGGCGTATGATCTTTTCCTGCCAGGGTCTTCGGGAAACGAGATCCCAAAAGGGTCCGCTAACTGGCTATCGCTCGCACTTCTCATCGATTTCCAAACACCTTCCCCGCGCCGGATCGCTGTGCCCCCCGACCCTTATGCCCCCCGGCTTTCACAGGAATAAGGGCACGCGCGCAGACACTGCTTGGCCAGGTGCCCTTGGACGCTAACCCCATGATCGGCGATCTAGCTCTGGCGTTGGCAAGCCAGGCGCACAAGGCGCGAGCTAGCAGCACAGTCGCCCAGTACAAAGAGCCATGGCAGGAGTTCCTAGATTGGGCAGAGCTACTACACATTCGGGCGAGCGACATTTACGACATCAGGCCAGAGATAGTGGCCATGTACCTGATGCACGTCTACCAAACCGCGCAAGCGGATGAAGTAGGTCCGGGTCGCGTCGCGNGAGCGAGCGCTGCTATTGCCTGCCATTTCTTTCTCGCGGGCCGCCCCTCACCTACGGAGCACCCAGCATGCAACCTCGTTCGGGACCTGGGCAGGTGCACACTGCAAGGGAAGAAGCTGCACAGGGAAAGCATGCAACCAGAGCATGTCCGCATGTTGGCCGCTCACTTCGCTGGGCCGGATGCCTCACTGCCAGACCTGATGATGTTAGCGGCCATATNCGTTATGTTTCGCGGGTTTCCTAAGGTTCACGAACTAGCCCACATCTCCGTCAGGCTGATCTGCTCACCCTGCACGAAACTCACATGGGCATCACACTGCCTAGGGCCCAAACGGAACCAGGAGGGGCAAAGGGCAAACCATCCGGATCCCGCGCCTGGGGGGGCGGGCCCGCCCAGGGGCTTGAAAAAAAGGCTGCCTGGCCTTGGAAACTAGTTCCGGTCCCCATTTCCCCGGGGAAGAAGTGGTCCCCTGCTTCCCAGGGTTTAGGCAAACAACAAGGCCCCCCTTGGGACAAAAACC